TTTTAGAAGAGACGGGGTTTCACCATGCTGACCAGGATGGTCTCGATCTCTTGACCTCGTGATCCACCCGCCTCGGCCTCCCAAAGTGCTGGGATTACAGGTTTGAGCCACCGCGCCCGGCCGATCATGAATTTAAATGGTTTCAAAAACATGTAATTTCCAGTTTGTTTCTTTATTTATTGAAACTGAGTCTCACTCTATCGCATAGGCTGGACTGCATGGGTATAATCACTGCAACCTCCGTCTCCTAGGTTCAAGTAATTCTTATGCCTCAGCCTCTCCAGTAGCTGGGATTATAGGCACCTGCCACCACGCCTGGCTAATTTTTATATTTTTAGTAGAAAAGGGGTTTGACCATGTTGACCAGGCTGGTCTCGAACTCCTGGCCTCAAGAAATTCGCCCACCTCAGTCTCCCAATAGGTGTTAGCCACTGTACCCGGCCTCCAGTATATTTCATACTGTCATTAAAATTAAAATGTTATAGCACTCTTTAAAGTGGAATCTAAAAACAACAGCAATTTGACAGGCATCATGATCCACTGGAGAACAGATATGAAAGAACTCTTCTCTAAAATTCAACAATTTTACATAAATTTTAGGAAAGGGTACACATTTAAAAGCTGAGAATTGGCTGGGCGTGGTGGCTCACACCTGTAATCACAGCACTTTGGGAGGCTAAAGCAGGCAGATCATTTGAGGTCTTAGCCTGATCAACAGGGTAAAACCCCGTCTCTACTAAAAATATAAAAATCAGCAGGATGTGGTGGCACATACCTGTAATCCCAACTATTTGGGAGGCTGAGGCAGGAGAATCACTTGAACCTGGGAGGCGGAGGTTGTAGTGAGCAGAGATTGTGCCACTGCACTCCAGCCCAGGTGAGTGAGACTCCATTTCAAAAAAAAAAAGGCTGAGAAAATAGGCAGGGTGCGGTCTAGGCCGGGTGCGGGTGGCTCATGTCTGCAATCCCAGCACTGTGGGAGGCCCAGGCAGGCGGACTGCTTGAGGCCAGGAGTTCAAGACCAGTCCGGCCAACATGGTGAAACCCATTTCTCCCAAAAATACAAAAAATTAGCCAGGCGTGGTGACGTGTGCCTGTGGTCCCAGCTATGCAGAAGACTGAGCCAGGAGAATTGCTTGAGCCTGGGAGATAGAGGCTGCAGTAAGCCACGATCATGCCACTGCACTCCAGCCTGGGTAACAGAGTGAGAACCTCAACTCAAAAAAAAAAAAAAAAAAAGAGGAGGAGTCTTCGAGAATATCTGTAAACACAGGGTTTTTTTCTCTAAAAGTAGCTTTAAATCGTTTCATATCCTCAAACCAGTAAGTAGATTAAGCGTGCCACAAAGCACAGTATTATTAGATTGTAGTTCATTTTTCTCTAAAAGTATTTATTACCTTGCACTTCCTCAGTCTGAAGCTGTCATTTTCTTGTCATACAGCCTTGTGAGATCTTTCTGCAGATTATCTAAAATCAGGTCTTAAAGAGACAGTTGCAATACAAAACACTAATTATGATTCCAGTTGGGGTTATTTTCCAATATACCTTGCCTAATAGAAATGCACTGTTTTTTTTTTTTTTTTTTTTTTTTTTTGAGATGACAGGTTTCTGTGCAAAACTTTTAAAAACCAAATATTTCTAGGTGAGTTGCAAAAATGCCTTGTAAAAAATATTAAAAACTAAAGAGCCCTAACCAGGAATGGTAGCTCATCCCAGCACTTTGGGAGGCCAAGGTAGGTGGATCACGAGGTCAGGAGTTTGAGACTCACCTGGCCAACAAGGTAAAACTCCACCTCTACTAAAAATACAAAAATTGGCCAGGCATGGTGGCATGTGCTGTAATCTCAGCTAATAAAGAGGCTGAGGCAGGAGAATCACTTGAACTCAGGAGGCGGAGGTTGCAACAAGCTAAGATCGTGCCCTTGGATGCCAGCCTGTGTGACAAATCAAGACTCTGTCCCCCCCCCCCAAAAAAAAAAAAAAAACCCTCTGAAAGAGCCCGATCTTTTGTTTTATTTTTGAGGCAAGGTCTCACAGTCACCCAGGTTAGTGGCATGATTACAGCTCACTGCAGCCTCAACCTCCTGGGCTTTTAAGAGACCCTCCCGCCTCAGTCTCCCAAGTAGGTAGGACTATAGGTGTGTGCCACCAAGCCTAGCTAATTTTTCTATTTTTTGTAGAGACAGGTTTTTACCATGTTGCCCAGGCAGGTCTTGAACTCCTGGGCTCAAGCAATCCACCCACTCTGGCCTCCCAAGGTGTGAGCCACCATGCCCAGCCAACCATATCTATTTTTCAACCAGACAGTATATAAATTGTCAAAAATCCCATATGTTGAGTTTTAGTTTTCAATATTTAATCATTTCGAATAGCTGCTTTGTATACAATATGAAAAAGATGAAAGAAAGAAAAAAGCCCAACACTCCAGGATTAGATACTTAAGAAAG